GTCCTTCCTGGGATAGAAGGGCTCAGGTGATCATCTTCACAGTCAAGCAAAAGAATTTGTACACCTGGACAAAGTCACTCAGATTCATTCTCAAGTTATGTAAGATTCCTGGGGAATCTTGACAATGAGAATAATTTGATCCTGTTAGACCTGATGAAGTCATTGATGATATCAGTTGCCAGTCAGCTGAACTGGCTGCAAGGTCCAGAAGAGCTTTTTCTGCTGTGGCTCCCGACCTTCGGAATATTTTACCCATTTGTCTGAAATAGTATGGGTTCTCCTGTTGAGCAGAGGAGGGTTGGACTAGAAGACATCCAAGGTCTCTTCCAAGTCTATTATTCTGTTACCCCAAGTGAGATCTGCTCCCACCCCTCTGACCTTCTGCAAGGGCCTGAAGATCTTGCACTGCCAGCTGAGGGAGCATCACAAGTGGTTGATGGATTAAGAGAAGTATCCTACCTCTTCAGCTCCATATCCCACTCTCTCCCCCCATCTTTTAACAATAATCTTTCTCTGACTGTAATGCTATTTTTATTGTTTTCAGAAATATTTTTAGTTTTATAGCTTTTAATGTATGCCATCCAGAGTTGCCCCGAAGTGAGATGGGCAGCAAATAAATTTAAATAAATAAATAAATAAATTTTAATAAATAATGTTAAAGATTTGTTTTTTAGTGTTTAAAGATATATTTATAGATATGAAATAAGATATAGAAAAATGATATTTTATGCTGCAACCTGATTACAGTTGTTGAATTTTTTTTCTCATTAATCTATACTCAGTACCCCATAATGACAAAGTGAAAATAGAATTTTAGAAATGTCTGTAAATTTATTAAAAAGCAAAACCTAAAATATCACATTAGCATAAGTATTCAAACTCTTTGCAATAATACTTGAAATTTAGCTCAGGTGCCTCCCATTTCTCTTGATTGTTGCTAACATGTTTCTACACCTTGACTGGGGTCCACCTGTGGTAAATTAAATTGATTGGACATGATTTGGAAAGGCACACACCTCTCTATAGAAGGCCTCAGAGCTGACAACGCATACTGTAGCAGAGCAAAAGCCATGAGACCAAAGGAATTGCCTGCAGAGCTTAGAGACAGGATTATTGCAAGGCATGGATCTGGAGAAGGCTTCAATAAAATTTCTGCTGTACTGAAGGTTCCTAAGAGCACAGTGGTCTCCATAATTCTCAGATGGAAGATAATGAGGCACACCAGGACTGTTCCAAGAGCTGGTTGCCCGGTCAAACTGAGCAATTGGGAGAGAAGGGCCTTAGTAACAGTGGTGACCAAGAACCTGATAGTCATTCTGACTGAGCTCCAGAAATCCTGTGTGGAGATGGGACAGAGTTCCAGAAGGACAACCATCACTACAGCCTCCATCAATCTGGGCTTTATGGCAGAGTGGTAGACAGAAGCCTCTCCTCAATGCAAAACACATGAAAGCCCACAAAAAAGGACTCTCAGACTATGAGGAACAAGATTCTCTGGTCTGATAAAACCAAGATTGAATTATTTGGCCAAAGGTTCACTTTCCAACATGATAGCAATCCTAAACAAACAGCCACACACAGGAACAGCTTAGGGACAACTCTGTGAATGTCTAGAGTGGCCTAGCCAGAGCTGATGTGAACCCTACTAAGTATCTCTGGAGGGACCTGAAAATGGCTGTCCACTGAAAGTTGCCATCCAACCTGACTGAGCTTGAGAGGATTTGCAAGGAAGAATGACAGAAAATTCCCTAATCCAGATGTGCAAAGCCTGTTGTGTCAAAGACTCGAGGCTGTAACTGCTGCCAAAGGTGCTTCAATAAAGTATGGAGTGAAGGATCTGAATACTTATTCCAATGAAATATTCCAATTTTTTCTATTTAATAAATTTACAGACATTTCTAAAATTCTGTTTTCACTTTGTCATGGGGTACTGAATATAGAATAATGAGGAAAAAATGAATGTCAACAACTGTAGAATCAGGCTGTAGCATAACAGAATTGAAAAAAGTAAAGGGGATCTGAATATTTTCTGAATACCCTGTGTACATATGTGTGTACATAACTTTAAGCAAATAATTGATTAAAGGATCTTCCTATATGTATGAGGAGCTTCTTTGCTTGAAATATCAGAGAAGGTGATAAGTTATTGAAGTTGTACATTCTTGTCTTGATGGAGAAGGAAGTTTGTGCGCTCTGCTCATAGAACGCATCACCGGTCTACCCGCCCCAGTTGACCGTATTGCTTCTAATAATCTTGCATCCGTCTGTATATACTTGTAAGCTCAGGGATCATCGCCTCTCTTGTTGTCACTCTCTCTGCCTGCTTTGGACGTATCTGGGTACACATTGCTATAGGATGGTCCGCCAGTGGCTGTCCTATGGCCACCCCCCCTTGTTGTGAGTGTGGTACCCCGCCTCCCATCATTGGGTCCTGTATGAATCGTGCTGGGGATTTCTCCCCTTTGCCGGTCGTATTTCTTTGCCATTATTAGAAGCAATACAGTCAACTGGGGCGGGTAGACCGGTGATGCGTTCTATGAGCAGAGTGCACAAACTGCCGGTCTTATGAGCAGGCTTTCAAACCTCCAGCATTCCACTGACGACGTCGGCAGTTAGCTGACGAAAGCTAAGTTTATCAAACAGTTGTTAGTTTATTAAACAGTTGTTTTTATATTTATCCCGGTATTCGACTACTTTTCTCAACATGAATATACCCGGGATTTGCATTTTTAGTATAATTAGAGACAATACATACATAATATATATTCTTAGTTTGTATTAGTTTATCTTTGGATCTGTAAACCTCAATAAAAATCAGCCTACCAGCTACTAAGTTTAAAAAAATGGAAAAATGCTATTGGGTAATTAGTTCTTTTTTTTTCTAATAGAAAATCTATTTCCTGTGTTTCACCTGGAAACTATGAAAAAACATGACTAAGGGGCAAGATTGAATCATGAGATCAAACATTATCAGATAATATTTATATATTTACTTTAAGTTGAAATATCTAGGACCAGAGGAATTGCATTGCAAAATACTGAAGAAACTAATAGCCTTATGAATATTTTTTGAGTAATCACAGAGAATTAGATGATAACAAATCTTCTCTGTACCATCAAATAAGGGAGGGTCTACTCAGATATTGATTCCTGGAAAAATATTAGAAGAAAACACATAGCAATTTTGGATGGATTTCTTTAAAATTGAACTAGGCTAGACAAAAAAATGAAAGGCATTACAAAAAAAATTGATGAAATCAAGTTGGAAATAGATGTCTCAATTCCTATTTTCATATTTATAAAATAACCTGAATCAGAAAATATAACTGCTAATTTGCAGATAATACAAACACGGGGAACTAACACTGCAATGCATCTGCAAAAAAAAAAGTAAATCCATTCCTACCCTGTAAATATGCTTTCCAGTTCAAGAGAAATGATAATTCCTCTCTATTCTACATTGATCAGATAGCATCTAGAACAGTGATGGCGAACCTTTTAGAGACCGAGTGCCCAAACTGCAACCCAAAACCCACTTATTTATCACCGAATGCCAGCTGGGCGTGGCTCACTGGATGGGCATGGCTGTGGTGGTCATGGCAGATTGGGTGGGTGTGGCCAAGGTGGGCGTGATCACCTCAATGTTGCTCGTGGGGAGGGACGCCTGTGGGGGCCGGGAAGGGTTGGGGGAGATCCAGGGGGTCTCTGGCAGGTGGGGCGGTGGGCAGGAGGCTCATCCTGCGAGGAGAGGCGAGGCAAGGCGGGGGTGCCATTGTCACAGGGCAAGGTGAGGCAGGGGCCGGGGCGGCTGCTACCTGACACCATCGGCCCCTGCGCACAGAGGCCAGAAAGTGCATGGGTGCTGGGATGCATCCAGCCACATGGGACCTCAGCGAGTTAGTGGGTGGCTGGTTGAAGAGGGACGGTTGCCATCTCCGGGGCATGGTGCGCGTGCCCACAGAGAGGGCTCTGAGTGCCGCCTCTGGCACGCGTGCCACAGGTTCGCCATCACTGATCTAGAATGTTGCATTTAATTCTGGACAGAGGTTTAGGAAGGACAAACTGAAATATGTGCAGAAGACAGCAACAAAGATGATAAAAGCTTCAAAGGAAAAACAGTTGGATATGTTAGGCTGGAACAGAGAAAATTGTGCTTTTTCTTTACAAGTAATTTTTGAGGAAGAATTAGCTAACATATTTATAAATTGTTCAATGTTCACAGTGAACTTGGGGATCAAATGGATCTTATAATTTTTTCATGATTTAAGCCTAAAGCCTTCTAATTTATATCATAGCACTCTCTGCTGAAATCCTTATTACTTCATAACTTGAGTCTCTTCATACATTTTATCTTCATACAGCATAACAGATGCCTACACAAATAAAAGCTATAATAAGTGCACATAGTAACAGGATTGGTTAATACTGAAATATTATATGGCCTACTGTTGCAATGTCATCTAATTTAGAGATGGCCCAATCATATAAATTACAGAAGTAGGAGAGTGGCAAAGGGGCACTGAGCCTTATCTCAGTTCAGATCCAACAGCAAGATCTGACTGAAATAAAATAACATCAGAGATGAACTCTTGAGAACCAGAGCAATTTTTAAAAAAACCAATCCATGAATTCCTCTAAGGAATCAATAACGTCGGTATCCTCCCAAGTTTTACACACAATTGCAAAGCTGGCAGTTTTAATATACTTCCCATTTAAAGGCTCAGGCAGCAAATCGCGCCTGCTTGTCATATATGTGAAATCTTACTTGATTTTAATTCACACATTTACAGAAAGAAATGGATTCCTCCAGAATAATGATAGATTATTGGGAGATAAAAAATACCATTCCCCACGAAGTACTATCGTAGCCTGGGGGAAATGGGACGAAGTTCAGTGACAAAGGGGCGCAAATTGTGCGCAAAGCGAAACGTTTTTCCAGATTTACTTTCCACTCCCTTCCTACCTCCCTTTCCTCTTCCACGATTGCCCATTTAACCTACCATCATAAGCAGCAGCGCCGGTTCCAGTAGCAGTAACACTTGGGGCAGATGTTGACCTCCATTCCGCCTTATGCTTCTTATGTTTCTTCCCCATAACTATAATTAGTTATAACTAGTAAATCCCTCTTTTGCCAGCCCACCTGGAAGCCACTCCTCCTCCAGTCTAGGGAACACGGAAATGGGAGGAAATGACGTAAGACGCTAACACGGAAATACTTCTGATTCAAGTCGGATCCTGGTTAGTGAAGAAAGAAGCGCGGGAAATTTGTATAAAGGTGAATAATTAATCAACATATGTTTTTGATAGCAATTGACGACATTTTGGTTATTGGGTACGTGGTCAAGAGTTTTTTTACCCTCGCCTTTTATAAAATGTATGAATTGATGAGATTGTATAAGTTAAAATTGTTCCAAATTTTTTAGGGCTTTGGAGAATCATTTCTTATGAGGGAAGCGAAGGAAATTTGATTTTTATCTGCCTTTTTTAATTAGGCTGAGCGCATTCCTGGGAAAAGAAAACAAAAAGGCAGTAGGATTCCACAGACGGATGTAATTACAAGCCTTGTGGATGTGACTTTCGTTTTCTTGCGTAAGTAAACTGAGAGATTATTGGCGAAAATGGTGCTACAAACAATACTTAAATAATAAAACTGGGAAGTGGGCGGGTACAGTCAGTCGCCTATTGGGCTTTTTACAAATGATTTATCAACTTAAGCTAAAGTCTTTGTGGCAGAAAGAGGGCCCAGAGGAAAAAAATTGATACAAAAAGTCAAGCATTCGTTTTGCAGTTTTATCTAAAATTAAGATGCAAGAAATCCTTAGTTATTTAACATTCACTAATCTAAAATAGGGGAGTTCAGCTCTTCAACTGCCTGGTTACTAAATGTATAAGGGAAACAATATTTACTTCAGCTGAATTTGTTTCTGAATATTTGCCATAAAACTTCAGACTCATTCTGAGTAAGTTGGGAGTGAGCAACTTTGGAGATCTTGAGAACATATTTAGACCTTTGGAGATGAAGGGGAGCCCTGTCATACAGTGGCTGCTGTGAAGACTTGGCTGGTCACAAAATGGCAGACATAGAAGGTAGCTAGTCTAGGATTACCAGTAGCTTGAACAGGCAAAGGAGACAACAGAGAATTAGAAAGGTCAAGGGAAGGTGGGATGGACACAGCAATTGTTTAATTTTCTTGGTATCTGAAACAAAAATTGCAATGAAAAACAGCAAAAATCTTCTTAGGCTTAACATGTACTTAACCAAATTGCTTTCAACCTTAAAGAGCCAACCCACTATAAATACATTAAAGAAATGCATTATTTGCTGTATATAGATGAGCTGCAAAATTCCCAGCAATCATTAGATGGAGCAAAGAGATAGAGATTAAAATTAACTCTTTGTTGTCATTTAGTGGTTGTCTGGGTTTCTGCAGCTCTAATCTTGCCTAATGGGTGATCTAAAAATGTAAAATAAGTAAATTAATTAACTAGCTTTCTTTTCTGGAAAAGAAAAAATTGTGGACTTAGCTTTGCCTACTGCTGATTCTTCCATATTTTTCCATGTTTTAGTAATGGCAAAAGACAAAGAAGGGAAAACCTAAATAAATTGGGAGCACAGGTAGTTTGTTACCAATCTAGGAAGTGATTTCATCCTAATACCTATAGTCTTCAACTTAGACCGTTCGAAGTTACAAAAGCACTGAAAACAGTGACATAAACATTTTTCATGACCATTACAGCATTCCCATAGTGATGTGATCAAAATTCAGACGCTTAGCAACTGATAGTAGCAGTGTCCCAGGGTCATGTGATCGTCTTTTGCAACTTCTGACAAAGTCAAGCTTACTAATTTAATGACTGCAGTGATTCACTTAACAAGTGTGGAAGGAGGATCGTAAAATGGGGCAAAATCCACTTAAGTATCTTGCTTAGCAATGTAAATTTTGGGCTCAATTGTTGTTGTAAGTTGAGGACCACCTGTGTGTATATGTACAGTAAGTCACATGGAAACCTGACAAAGTATCATAATGCAAAAGGAATATGAACTGCATGACTAGAAGCTTTCTATACCACTATTTCTAAGTGGTATAAAGGCAGTGTTTGGTTGCAAGCCAATATGCTTTTATTGTTCCAGGGACATTTAAAATGCAAATAGACTTGGTTTAAATTCATTTTGAGGTCATTATTCAGAACTTAAATCTCTTTCAGCCAATGGCCAGATTGAAAATTCTAGAAAATGACAAGGGTGTGTCCATAAAATAGTAGTCATAGAAGCACTTTTGCTTTAATGTGTCTGATAAGCAAATCAGAAATGAAAACAATAAAAAGAAATTGGCTAATAAAAATTTAAAAAATATGCTTCAAGTGATCAAATAAGTTATTTCTAGGCCTGTTTTTATGCATAACTATTCTCTAATTAGGTTTATATAAAATGGATGAAGCAACAGGTGATTTAAAACTGCCTCTTCAAAATGACTGTGAATCCCTGCAGATACATGTGGAAGTTCATCAGAAATCAAACAGGTTGGTTTTGCATTAAAAGATTTTGTTCATATTGTAGAAAGTCTCCTACCATTTTTATCAAATGAATAACATGCTGTAGGTAGGTGGACACATGATTAGTTCTACAAGATGCAAGCCTTCATTTTATCCATAACATTTAGAGAAGCAATACTGACAAATCAGTATTGCAATGGATATAATAGGCACATTAAGCATATGAAACCATCCTCTGCAAGGATAAGGGGTTATAAGAGTTGTAGATTGTTTTAAGTATTTTCCAGGCTCCTTACTCAGTTTTTTTCACATGAACTTTCTCGCTCTACCCCTCATGAATAGATTCCATGTGGGACAATAGACAGAACCCCACCACCACGAAAAGTTCACTCAAACATAGCCAGAGACTTGATACGGTAGCTGTTTTTCAAACGTACTGTCGAAAGTTTTTTCTCCTGTGAAAAAAAATACTACAACCACTATTTTTCAGATCAAGGATCTGGGATTTTTTAAATTAATAGTTCCATGGCCTAAAAAAAAGTTTTAAAATCCTTTTCCTAATTAATATAAGGGAACCTACAAAGTTTTAGCCTCCAGGGTAATTTTTGTTTAGAAATTTGTTTATGAGCTCTCTGAGCATTCTTTAAAAAGTGTTGGGTACCAACCTGATAAAAATAAAAAAATGATAAGCATCCTGGAAAGTTGGGGGAGGGAGGAGAGAGTAATGCTGCTTTGTATTTTGATAACTAGGTACATGAGTACTCACAGGAGATTCTTTGTGTTAAGATTTAGTATAATCTTAACTATTTAGATTTTTTTTGAAGTTCCTTTTAATATTGGTGTCAGCTTAGAACATTGTCTTCAATTGTTTGAGGGTATTATAATCAGAAGACTGTCATTTATCAGTGAAGTGTCCTTTGCATACTTTCCTCTGATAACACAGCAGATGATATTTTGTGTCTCAGCTGGTTGAAATAAGTGGCATTCTATCTTTTCCTGGGTATAATTGATTGTGGGTGAAGCTGGTTATTTTTTTTCTCCTATTTAACCAGTACTGCAAAAAAAGAAGATATCAAACTAAGTGTCTTAAAGCTACTAAACAGGCACAATGTTATTTTTGGTGATTACAAATGGATTGAGTTTGATGACTGCTTCCTAACAAATAATGTACAGTCAATTGCAGTTGTGGATACAGAACTAACGCTGAAAGACAGGCAGGTAATTCTTTTGCTCATTTGCTTCTCCATAATTAGCTGTTACCAAAATGTTGCATATTTTATGTATTATTAAAATTGAAAAGTTTTAAAAATATGAATAGTTATGCAGTGTCATGAGTATTCACAAGAGCATGCATTCATATAGCATTATATTATTTGTATTTGCATTGGCTCTATATAAGCTTCTAATTGCAATTTAAATTGCTAAGAGATGTCACCAACTTGATGGCACATAGTCAGTATCACCACCTCTTAGTGGCATAGGATCAAGTTATTTGAGGAATCATCTTCTCCAATTATCTTTGCTTGATCCATGAAATCCAACAACCTGGGCATGCTTCGGATTCTTTCTATGAAATAGTGTCAGTTGATAGACCCCAAAATCTGCCATATCTCTATTTTAATGCCTCGTCTGTGGAACAACATGGTCCTGGTCTTTTTGTTATTCTGTAAACCTGAAAATCTGATTCTTCCCTTGGGCACTGGATCAGAATACATGACAACCCTATTTAGAAAAAGATGTTGTATGCTTAGTTGGCTTCAATGAATTCTGTTATCTTTGTTGTTCTGTTGCTCTTATTCTAGTTTAGATGTTTACTTGTAAGTCACTCAGAGTTACTTTTTGTAATTGCGCAGTCAATTACAAAAATCAACTCAATATATATTGTTAAAGATTTAATGTCAAATTAACGATTCAATCATTAATTTATTTTAATAAATGTGATTTTTAACACATTTATGTATAATTACCGGTAAAATATTATTATTGTAGGAAGAGAGCCATATAAGTTTGTGGTGGCAAAAAGTAATCTTTGATAGCATCTTTTCTGGCTAACAAAGTTCATGAAACCTTTTAATAATAAAATTGTTAGAAAAAGTGCTGCAAGACTTTCGATAAAATTTCTTCCAAAGAACAAGTTTACTAAAGTGAAAGCAGAGTCTAACACAATTATTTTTGCATTAATTATGAAAAAATTGATCCAAAGTTTTTCCCTTCTCCCCAAATCCATAATTTATATAAGCCATAATTTAATCATAAAAATGCAAAACCATGATTCTAGAGATGAACTATGCCACCATCTATAATGGATCACACGTTGAAATGCATCTTAGATGAAAAACTCACTGCAGATTGAAAACATAACAAAGAATGTGTTTCCTAAAACTACCAACTGAATAAAAGAAGACACAGTACTATCTTATTCTAATTTATAGGTAGATGCATCCTTGTCTTGTGTTGGATAAGACCCATTTAGATTAATTTTTGAAAACCATATTAAATATTTTTATGAACTATCAGTATTTTTTCTAACATTTAATCATGAATTTAAGAGATTTCTAAAATAATTGATAAAGGGTGATTGTGATATTCTATACATATCAAGAAGTACTTCTCATGGCAGACTCTAGAAAGTCCTTTATTACTCTCAATAAATGTTCCAACAAACGCCCCTCCAACA